AACTTTAAGTCGTGGTACACTGACCGTATTTTAAGGAAGTGCTGATATTTCCGATGACAGTATTACAGACGTACTTCGAAAGCCCTCGGGATTATTCGAAAACCGTCGGGCAAAGGTCATTGTTTAAAATGGCGTCACTGGAAAGTTGTGTACGCGTTCGCGAAGACGATGATTGTTTCAATTCAGCGGAAATAAATGAAATTGAAGAATTCGTGATTGAAGAGGATATATTTTGTCTCAAAACCGCGACGCCTTGATAATAGCGAAAAATGTACCAGGAAGTCATGCAATACTGTTAACGACAAAAAAACTTGAAAACAGTTCAAGTTTCAGTCGTCTACTTCATGCGTGGAGTACTCTGGAGCACCGTCCTTCGACACGATGGGCGGTGTCTGGAGGGACATACTAGTAGTTTTAACACCATTGCAAAGATCGTAAAGTAGGCTTCAATATAAACTTACACATAAGTGGGCCAATTTGGTGCAACCCTGTGAGAACAGCAGTTTAAATATCCTATGGAAATTCTAAGAAAAAAACGGACATAACTTACTGATAGAACTCGTAGAACACCGCATAGCAACCGAGAAAAAATGACCCGCCCTTGGTTACGAGGAAAATGAACGCTAGCGTCGAAAATGATCGTTTAAACAGACAAGATAATAGAATTACTAGTAACTCGACTAGAAACAAAGGAAATGTAATAGACTTAAACAAGTTGTAACTCCTTCTGTTTATACCTATATGGTGTGAATGTCTGTTTTGTGTAATTTCGTTTAATTTTGAATATACAAGCGTAATTTCTGAGCAAAATTGCCAAGAAAATATACTAAACGTACTAGCAGACCAAATTCACGAACGCAATTTGCGAACGCGTCAATGCAATAAGTTTCCATGGGGATTGGCACAATAGCGCATGCGCAACTGCAAATAACCTACTATTTGACCAGAAATATAATGAATAGTTTCCCCAATATGCATCTGCCAATACAATCAGTGTTCCCTGTATAAAACACTCGTATGAAATAAGTGTTTTGTTTAAACAACTGCACGGTCAATAAAATGGGTCACATTGGAAGCGTGGTACAAATATAAAGTACAGAATACACTTACGGTGCATACTTGATTACTCTCGCAATCCACGGATGTGAGATTAGTGCCTGCAATACAAGACTCGTCAACGGTTTCATCCGATGATACACACTGGTAGCATTTCCTTGAATTCACACAACTTGTGAAAAATACAACTATGAAAACAGAAGTATTTAAAAAAGGGTTAGTTACCTATACATTATACTGATTATTCAAATACGACGGGATAAATAAATAACATCTCATCAATTATCTATACTAATCGTTCAAATGTCAACCAATCAAAACTCGTGTTTTATAGAATGACTAGTTTGTTGTCAAATCTCATCAGAGGAGAGCATTTAAACGCGATAAGCACAAGTACATGTAGTTTGAAATAGTTACAGGTGTGTGTAGCAGCCGTTAAAACCGATGGCTGTAGCTTAAAATCAAACATAACCTGTAGTTGATGATTCCAACACCATGTATTCATAATATACACTGAAGTTAAATGGAAATACATACCGAAAACAATGATGAACAAGAAACGCATGATGTATAATCTTGTAGCAAGCTGCAACCCTAAAAATAGACCTTTAATCATAATTAACTCAAATTTAAATATTATGACTGGGAAATTGCTAATTTTTTCACAAATACAAACTAATATCTAATAAGTCTATAAAAGTGTGATCTATGGTACCTAACTATCTATGGATCAGTGAATCTAAACTGATACGTTATGAACCATATTGCTGCATTACAACAGGCGCTGAAAATGGACTGATCAAGAAAAGCGTCAAATGTCCCTATCAAGTACTCAAGCGCTATTAACTAGCCCCGCAAGCTACAAAAAAACAGACGAGACAGCATGCAAGCGAAATAAAAAAAAAACTAACAGTTGTAATTGATAAGTAAAACTTTTCACCCTTACGACAACTTCTTCAGTGGTATTATTTTTTTCCAAAGGTTTTTTAAAACTGAAGTATAGTTTTTCCGTTTCGCTGTAACGATGTGCTGATAGCATTGCGATGCAATGGATAAACATCATTGCTATGCTGTCATCGATAACTAACTTTTCTGTGGAAAAATACTAGTTCACAAACGTAAAATGCTCGGTTAATTAAAAATCCCCCGGGAATTACAGAAAAATCGGCAACGAGATGCTGTTTTTAAACACCGCGGAAAATCAAGCACTCTGCGATGCCATCTTGGTTACCGTAATCGAAAACCCCCCTTTGTCAGCTAGCATGCATCTGTAGCGATGTCGCAAAGTACGTTTTACGGCCGTGCTCGGCGACCTCTGGTACTAAGGATCTCTATGATAAGGTATTTCTAGAGGTCATGGGTTGTTTAGTTTTTATCGACCCGTCTCATCTGTAGTTGAATGAAACCTATTTCGTTTTACAATAGTTTCCCTTCCATTTCGTTTTTCTCACCAGCGTTTCAGCGATTGAGTAGTAAAAACTGCGAAAAGCCGTTGTGTAGCAAAATATTACGGCCCATTTCCACCTGGCCGTCTAACTTTGCACGGTTCTTTTCATGCCGCGCCGGTGACCGCGAAAAACTGCGTTATACAAAGAATTATTTAAAGGTTCGAGGAAAGGTACATTTAAACTGAACCAACCCAATGGCGATCGCTATGTTTATATACCTGTATGAATATATCTCAACGGCTTTACGTGATCCATTGTGCCCCCCACCCTTCAGTGGAAATGATAACACGGCGCCATGACAGTTTTCACGCAAGGGCCTGTGGACGATTTTACATCCCTTTCCACTCGAATTTTAAATATTTTATTTTATTTTTTTATCTGACGATTGAACATCAGCAAGCGTCGATGTAAGGTGGATTTTGGCATATCGTCGTGATGTAATAGCCATTTTTGTGGACGATTAACGTCACTTTCATAAAACGGGCATTATCTCCGTTTGTGTTTTCTGGCTGGTCAGAGAGATTCAAAATTAATTAGCTGCCACAGTTTTTGTCTTTGGTCTTAAATTTTCGCACTATTTTGACGATGTCTCTACTTCCTGCTTGACAACTTTGTAATATCAAAACAAAACATACTATATATATATATATATGCCTGGACACCCATTTGTTAATAAACGACTGATAAACGTTTTGTGGAAGTTTCATTTGAAATACGAATTGTGAGAGCTATTTAGGTTTGAAAAACACCAGTGGAGATCATTTACATAACCATTTACCCAGTAAAAAGTTTATAATGCTCATAATTGAAATGGCTGTAACAGTTCCAAATTTAAACCTATTATCCTTTTGTGAAAAGTTTATAGCCAAGATAGTTTGGATAATAAAATGCAAACAAAAATTATTCCCAAATGCCCACGAACCTGCATCTATACCTTAAAGCTCTCATCAATATTTGAACTAATCCGAGAGAGGTTTTCTCGTAGTATCTGTATGTGTAATATTAAAGTAATGGGGTTGGGGATTTCAACCAGAAGTCGATAATATAACTTTTTACGAAACATTACAAAAATATTCATCAACATTAGGGAATTGAATATATCATCAGAAAATGAACAAATCTGAAAGAGGTCTATCTGAGGTATCAAAACAGTCAGGCTTGCCTCTTCAACAAGAAGTTATCGCTTTTACCAATAATAACAAATTAAAGATGTCACAATGAAATGAACAAATCTAAGAGGTCTGCACACGATACATATACACCAAATAGCAAAGCAAACAGGCTTGTAGTTTTCAAGAAGTCGAAAAAGTAAAAGGTTGACACAGACGACGACCGACGACAGAATATCTCTTATATGATAAGCTTCACTCGACAAAGTCCACAGCGGAGCTAAAATGTGACTTAATAGGGATCGTGATAAAACTTATTTAGATTTAATCAAATGTTATAATATTGCACTGACTTGTCTCAGTGTAGAGTCTTTCTTCACACGTACGCTGGCTCGGTTCCAAACTTTGTAATGGAAGAACAGTTGAAAAAAATAAGTTTGTTATGCCTATTGATGTTATTGCGTTGCTGTTGGATACATTCATTGATTGGCTGATCGCCCGTAAACATTGCAGTAAATCACAACGCCCTGTCATGTGTCTGAACAGTATCTAGAAGTAATAGTAATATGCTCTGAATAACCATTCATTGTCACTAGGAAAGCAAACTTAGCAATAACATCTTTCAATAACTTTTGAAATGCCTTGTATATACGCGATTATTAAAGTGACAGTATTACGTGACGTCATTGCTTTGTTTCAAACGAGTTTATATAAAGGACGCAGAAGTCAGTCAGATTTATTGCCTCGCTAAACAGGTGCAATCATTGAAGTGAAACCTGGGGTACATAATCAATTATGGATCAGTGAATCTAAACAAGTAATTTGTAGAATCGGAGGGTTTGTATGTTTCAAACTATTTTGCTGCATTAACAGTGTATAATTCCCTAAAAATACTTTTTCTGTCGGATAAAGTGTATTATAGTTGTTATCATAAGGTACTTGGTGCAATTATGTATTCAATGTGAAATGTGTACCAGATAAAATGATTATGGTCTATTTCAGTTAACTGGGGCATTCACCTCAATATCTAGGGCATCCTTATTCACGACCTTACATATACACCCTGTACATGTTAATAAACACTTAAACGATTGAGTTTTAAGCTATGACTTTGCTATTATTTACGAAAACGACACGTCATATTTTATTTCTCAGTTAGAGCTGAGCAGTACAGACAAGGTAATAATGTCGTTATTTCTACACTCAATTCTGTTCTGTTCGGGAGTACGGTACAGAGTTGCTCTGTTGAATCTGATCAAATTCGGTATTGGTTTGTTTTCTTACTTTATTCCAGTCCTGATTAAAATCTTATAAAGGTAGAGGCTTTTGTGGCTTAAAACGATGGTCTCTTTCTTTAGCTTTAGGTGTATATAACATCTCACAAATTACCTATACAATTGTCAACCAATCAAAACTCGTGTTTTATAGAATGACTAATTAGTTGTCAAATCTCATCAGAGGAGAGCATTTAATTGACGATTCCAACACAACGAATACATGTTCAAATATAAGGATATTATATAAGAATATTTATTCAGAACATACACTGAAGTTAAAGTAAAATACATATTCAAAACAATGATAAAAACACGCATGATGTATATA